CAGTCTTCACATCTTGTGGACTACATGATATTACACATATCTGGCCCCTGGCTCTTTGCGCCAGCTTCCGTTGTCGTCTTCGCACTCGTTTTCGCAATGTCTTCTAACACTTCGCGGCACAATTCACCCGTCAGCGCACTACACTCTGCATAGCGGTCGCAAAGCATCTGCTGTGCAGTCTGCACCCCTTCATGAGGCATAACGCTGGCGCCCTTTCCTTTCTTATCCGACCCATGCTCCTCTATCGTCCATTGCTTTCGAAGATCCCTCTTCAGGCCCAATACCATGACCGGCAGATTCTCGTCGTAGTTGAAGTACTTGTTCACAATAGGCAGCCATGTCGTTGACAAGGATTCGAGTGAGGCGCGTGAGGAGATATCGTAGCAGAGGATCACGAATTGAGGCTTTAGGAGGGTGTAATTATAAGGCGAGGCAGTATCGAAGAACTGCAGCCTATATGGACGACCGTAGAGTGTGATGTCGAAAGCGAAGGGCTGGTCTATATCGCGCAACGTTGGGAGCTCATACGGTGGAAGGTCGTCGCCTCGAGGTTGGATGCCGAGGCTCAGGCGTCTATGGCCATGTCAACAGTGCTCATGATACATCCTTTACACTATCATTTACATGACATCCAGCCTTCGTAGGCGCGCCGTGGGAAGCACCAAACGGCGCGTGACGCTTGCCAGACTTACGATAAGAACGTCGACTTGCCGACTTCTGCATCACCAAGTAGCAGTACATTGATCTCTGGAGAAATTGATGTATAGTCCATGTTAGATTTAAATGCCTTGCGGCATAAGTTGTTCAGGGCGGCTTCATACTTGCTATCGCGATTGCGACGGAGGCTCAAGAGTGACGGAGATGCCTGGGCACGGAGATAGGCGTTAATGATGTCTTGGCAGAGGAACGCTAAAGATGATGGTATAGTGTTTTCAACATTGCTTTTTGCTTCTACGCTTAACTTCCACTCCTTTCTCTTTTTCGTAGAGGCCTTGGCTAAAGTGCTCGAATATCTCTCCAAGTTCTCATTGTTTTTGGATTACTAGAAAGTGATCCACGTTATTAAATGCTATTAATGTTGTCCAGCTCCCTAACAAAACGTTGAGTGGAACTTCTCGCAACCATTTACTCGAACCAGCCTACCGTACTAAGGATGGTATTTTTGGTGTCTACGCTGACCAGTTACCCCGCAACCGTATTTCATGCGTTTATCTTGGGTAGGTGTACACTAGCTTCAACGAACCAAACAATGGCAATTTCTAGTATGCACAAGGATACAATTTTGTCTTCACCTAAAGGCACAGCTGATATAAGATACAGTCAAGCTAAAGAGAACATCTAACCACAATCTGCCATTCGTGGAATTCGCAAAGCGGTTGGCCTTGTACTGTCACATCGTATGCATATGCTCCTGCCGACTCTTAGAGGCGTAGTGGTCTCTTTGTTACTATTCTGGATATTGTCACTTCCAGACGGCTCGCCCGATGATGATTGCAGCGCTGAGTTGGCAAATATTCCCTTGCAAATCTTTGTCCAGCGAAGCACTTTGAAAGAAAAAGTAGGCACTGATTCATGTGTAGAGTGGTTAGAGTCAGTTGACGTAGTATGTGGTACGTGCACGACGCGCCTAAATGACAAGATAGCCTATGATGAACCGTGGAACATTGCCAGTCCTATGTGTGTTCATATTTCTTCTTCCTCAATGCATCGTTAGCCAAAGATGATAGAGAGCTGTCAAAATGTTGTCTCTCCGGGGCTGTGTGATTCGCAGTTGCATTCCCGTAATAATGTATTGACGGGTGAAAAGCCACAATCGCGGGTGCCTTGCTAACGAAGTGTCAGTCGGCTTGGCGACACAATCATCCCGCGAACCGGGAGTCTGGATCTTCGGGGTTCTGTTTATTATGCGTACAATTACTTACAGCCCGCACGCTCCTTTGCGTTAGGCTACCAATTTGTTTGGCTGTGGCACCAAGATAACAAGTTGGACCTGCTTAGAACTGCTGGGCATGCACGCGAGCCAAGCACGCTTGCAGCCTTGGGAGCTTGGGAGATAGGATCCTAAATTACCAAATGAGGAAGCTGGTAAATATATGCTTGTATCCACATTGTGCCACGGCAGGTACTGTGTCGTTATGTGGAATACATAAGGCCATGTGGTGGCAACGTTTTACTTCTCCACGCTCTGCATCCATAGCTTATTGCAACATTCTTCTTGCAGTTCATCATGAAGGTCTCTACACTTCTCAGCCTACTTCCAGGTGCTGCAATCGCTTCTGATGTGCTAAGCGTCGCCTTCTACGCAAAGGAGAAGAACCAGCTGTACGATTTCATCTCCGCCAACAGCGAAATCGACTATGGTTGCCGCCCCCAAGTCCTGGCTGCTGGTAACGAGCACAAACTCCATGCTGTGATTTCAGAAGACCATTTGGATCACTTCAAGCGCAGTCTGAATCCTGAACTCGTCCGTGTCGAACTCTTGGACAACTTGAACAAGCGTCAGACAGCCACTGCGCCTATCGGTAGCGGCGACCGATTCAAGGGAGGAAAGATCGCGCCTCGCGGTCTCGGTACCAGGAAGCCTAGCGAGTATGCTGCTCTTCAAAAAGCCGGTATCCTCAACGCAGATGAAGTCTACACTGCTATGAAGGGCCTGGAGAAGGAGTACGGCATGACCCTCTTCACAACACCACACAAGACATACGAGGGCAACACTATTCTTGGTGGTGTTGCGAACAAGGCCGAGAAGATCAAGAAGGACAAGCAGTATATCTACTTCACCAGCGGCATCCACGCACGAGAACGTGGTGGACCAGACAACCTGATTTACTTTGTCTCCGATCTGCTGTACGCGAACAAGCACCGCATCGGACTCACTTACGGCAACAAGACGTACACCAACAGCCAAGTGAAGAAGGCTCTTGGTGCTGGTGTTGTCTTCATTCCCATGCTGAACCCCGATGGTGTTCGACACGACCAAGCCAACAGCAACTTGTGGCGCAAGAACCGCAACCCAGCCTCTTCCCGACCCAACGAGCCTCTCAGCGTTGGTGTAGATCTTAACAGGAACTTTGACTTCCTCTGGAACTTCACTGAGAAGTTTGATCCAAGCGTCTCCCCAGCCTCCACTAACCCATCTTCCCAAGCTTTCTATGGTACAGCGCCATTCTCCGAGCCCGAGACCAAGGACATGGCTTGGGTTTATGACGAGTTCCCCAACATTCACTGGTACATTGACGTGCACTCTGCTGCAGGAACCCTCTTATACTCTTGGGGCGATGACATTGACCAATCCCACGACCCCGAGCAAAACCTTTTCAACACTGCTTATGATGGCAAGCGCGGCGTCGTTGAAGACACTACATACCTGGAGTATATTGACCAAGAAGACTGGGACAACATCCGCTTGGCCGCAAATCGCACCACTGATGCCATGGCCGCTGTCGGTGGTCGTGAATATATCCCTCAGCAAGCCGTTGGTCTATATCCTACCTCCGGTGCTTCTGACGACTGGTCTTTCAGCCGCTGGCACGGAGACAAGAGCGTTACCAAGGTCTACGGTTACACTATGGAGTTTGGTTATCCCACCAACTTCTACCCTACTGCTGAAGAGTTTATCCAGAACATCATTGACACCAATGCTGGCTTTATGGAGTTCATTCTTACTGCTGCTGAGATTGGACTCAAGGCTTAATCGAGGTTGGCGTGAGGAATGAGTGCTTGCAGCTGATAATGTTATGAAAAAAAACAATGAGAGTAAATGTAGTAGTAGAGTAGTATTCGTAAATAATGTATTGCACATTAATCAAGAAGCGACATCATCTCCAGAAGGTTTTACAAAAAAGGTTAATTTGCCTGTTGACATCTCAGCACCACTCGACATGGGCTACTCTTGAAGATAGAATGTGCAAATTTAACAAGGTCGATATTGGAATGGTGGATTCGGAGTGGCGGGAATGAAGTGCACGTATCATACAGCATTAAGATTTGTTACGAGATCATGTATCTGTAGGATTACTTCGAATACGATTTGCATACATCGAGAGGCTGTCTTCAACCATCTCTCACGTAGAAAGGCACACTTCAATGAACGCTAGTCGAATACAGTCTAGCCTCACCATCCTCAGCTGCCCACGCAAAGCACATGCAGCTCGTCACAACCGCAGTCTGCCAGTGCCCCTCCTTTTATTCATCGAATCTTGGAATCCGCCCCACCTCCCACATTCTAGGTTCTGGACAGGGTTCGATAGCACAATGCTTAATTACATGGGCACCCGACAACCACCGCGCAAGTACATCGTAGCCGAAGCAGACACTTCCACTCTTCCGAAAACTCAGTCATGTGGCATCTGCCATTCAAGAGTATGGACACCGGAGTCATTCAGAGCTATCAATGATGCACCGATGGAGCAAGAAGGAGTTTCAGTGCGTTACCAAATCACATCAGAAGAGCTGCGGAGATCCGTCTTGGGAGGATGTGAGTTTTGCAAGACACTTGCCGACGGGATACATGGCAAGGTTTTTCTCGATGAACTCTATGAGCGCCTACAAGATAGTGACAGTTGTTCTGGAACCAATGCATCCGAAGACGTAGAGAGCTGTAGTGAGAATGCGAACGAAGAGCCAGAAGACGTTGAGCAAGAGTGGGCAGATGCTTCTGCTTTCAATGAAGAAGAGTTTGATAATGACATCACAGGCGGCTGGGATGCATGGGAAGAGCGTGATACACTCGTTGAGGCATGTCATTTCCAAGTTGAGGTCTCCTTTGAAAGGGAACATGCAGGCCTTTTCACATTTGTGAACGCATACATTGAAGCTGTAGATAAGACGGACCATCCCAACAATCTGCAAAAGCTACAAGGAGAGAAGTCTTTAGAGCTGCGATATCACGTCAATAGTAAAGGTATGTTATCTGGGATGCTGATGGTGAAAAGCTTACCAAGGCAAGAGACAACCGGTCGAGTACATTGTCCATGTTCCCACCTTGGATACCAGATGGTATGCTTGGAGCCGAGACTAATATGAAGATGCTCGGAGAGTGGATGCAAGGCCTTCAACCCAACGCTCAATCTGCAGTGACAGCACTGAATTATCTGCCGTCACGCCTGATACAGCTGCGCGACGAAGGTAGTCTACGCATAGTCAAAACATCCACCATCGAGGGCCACGAACCGAAGTTTGCTGCACTTAGCTATGTATGGGGCACAAATCAAACTTTCATCTTGCTTAGTACCACTGAAGATATGCTCACAACAGGGTTTGGAATCGAGCAGCTTCCCAAGACGATACAAGACGCTGTCACAGTCACCCGCCGCGTCGGAATAGAATACATTTGGGTAGATGCACTGTAAGAGAACGTTTGAAGCTATTATCTGGATTGCTGACAAAGAGATAGATGCATCATGCAGGATTCAAACGAAGATAAGGCACAGGAATTACCGAAGATGCGATCAATCTACAAATATGCCACAGTAACTGTAGTGGCTTCTGTCGCCAAATCTGCTACTGAAGGCTTTCTACATCACGTTGAAGAAGAATATGACTACTTCATCGAACCGGTTACGATACCTTTTTCGGCGAACACGGTCGAGCCGACATGCTCAGAAATCGTGCTTAGTTACCCAGCAGCCTATAAGCGATGGAAAGACCCCATCAACAGCCGAGCTTGGACGTTTCAAGAACTCATCTTGTCAACCCGTGCAATTCTCTTCTCATACCGTGGGGTGTCAACAATTGACCGTATTAGCCCGGCTGCTGCGGATGGCATGACGTCTGGTAAAGATCCGCAGTTGCCGAGTTTACCCTGGAGCGGCAAGCTGTTCTCTCTGGCTACTACTCCAGAAAACACGAGGCAGGTATGGCTTTCAATAAGAGGAGAGTACAGTCGACGTATGCTCTCGTACCAGGGAGACAAGCTGGTTGCAGTATCGGCTATTGCAGAGGAAATTGGCCAAATGTACAATAGTCGCTATGTTGCTGGCATGTGGGAGCGCGACCTCGCTATAGACCTACAATGGAACTGTCCACGCAGAGATACGGTGGGTGACGACGGCCATAATCGGAAGCCTCGAGCACAAGGTTACGTTGCACCTTCATGGAGTTGGGCATCTGTCAGTGGTGCTGTGGAGGACTTTGTACAGGTTTGGGAGGATGAAGGCGATGACGGAGGAATTGGGTACAAGAACAGCTTTGGGTTTGAAGTGATTTCCTGTGAGGTTGAGCTTGCTGTTCCCGGCTTCGAGTATGGAGCCGTCACCTCGGGTATTCTGGTCGCGAAAGGTCGCATCTGTACACTCTCTTGGCACCCCCATCCCAATGACGAACAGCACAGGGTCCTCGAGTCAGATGGTTATCTTGCAGGATTAGCAGACGGTGACAAGAGCGGACTAGTGAGCACGAGTGCGAGCGGCAGATATGGGGAGGGTACGTTGGATGCCGCTGATCCGGATATGCATGCCGGCGTTGAAGTGGTGTGTCTTGGGGGAAGATTGGTGGAGAATGTGCCAGGACGAGAGGACGTGGAAGGAATGATGCTACTGGCGACGACTGAGGGACAGTATCGTCGAGTTGGCTTTTTCCGAGTGCAGACGGGGGCATTTGAGACGGGCGAGAGTGCAGTGGTTAGGATAGTGTGATGATTGGTAGACAGTGCTCAGTGCTCAGTGCTCAGTCGGGGCACAAATGACGACGTATGCACGTGACCTGACCGGCCGATGACGGTTAGCGCTAGTGGGCCGGTGGCTCTGGCCCACGAGGGCAGCCACACAGAATGGCGCAATTAGTGACCGCCCACACTGACTTGCTGCATGCAAACTCGTGTAGCTGCACACGACGGCGAATGTGGTCGCCAGCATATTTTCCCCGGCCTGCGTGTGCAGACTGCAGCACATGTGCATCATGCAGTAAATTTCTGCTCTAGAAGGTTTTCACCACGGCTCGGCAGGGAAAAAAAAGGTGCAACAGCCGAGCAGGCGGCCGGCTGAGTGTGACGACAAAACCACAATCCATGTCCCATAGTACACCATACCATGTATCCTGCCCACGTCCTAAGGTACACTTGCCCAGTAGCCTGTCCCGCGCCATCCATGCCCCAACATTAGCTCGGCTCTCTTCCCTTTATCGATAAGACGATTTTCTACGCGAAAGCTTCGCTGCCTCATCGCTCCCTCCTTGTCACTGCCCGTCGCGAAACACTACTCACCTCTACCTCGTCCACCAGCCTTCAAGATGAGGAACATTGTCGTTCTCGGCGGAACCTCCCACCCCCAGCTCACAGAGTAAGCAGCACCTCATCACGGCGTGCGGCGCGCGGGCCCACTGACGGTGCTCTAGGACCATCTGCAACCACCTCGGCATACCCAAGGCCAAGGTCCTTCTTGACAAGTTCAAGGGCGGCGAGACCAGAGTGGAGATCCAAGAAAGTGTCCGCGGCAAGGATGTCTTCATCATTCAGTCTGGTGGTGGTAAAGGTACGGAATTTCCCTGCCCACTCCACACACGCGTCGTCGCATTTTTTTTCCTCGAGTCGCGCAACCGTCCCAACGCCAGTCGCACGGCAGCATGCTTCACGAACCACGCTAACATTTGGTGTCGCGCATAGTCAACGACCATTTGATGGAGTAGGCCTGTCCTCATGGTATGCTTGAGTCAAGTGCCTGACGTACTATAGACTGCTTATCACCATCTCGGCCTGCCGAACTGCCTCTGCGAAGCGCATCACCGCCGTCCTTCCTCTCTTCCCATACTCGCGACAGTCGGACATTCCCTACAACAAGACGGGCGCACCGCTGTCAAAAGTGCCTGGGCGCTCAAGGACCGGCACATACACGCTCGAATCTCGCCCGCAGACGCCCCACCCAGGCCAGCCTGAGAGCGCAGGTCTTGCAAATGGATCGGCATCACTGCACCACCAGCTCAGCAAGATAAAGCTCGACGAGCGCAATGGCATTACCTCGAACCCCTCAAGCCCTGTCAAGACAAATGGCATCAAGCGCACCGACACGCTTGACTCTACCAAGGGAGACAAGGCGTACTTTGGCGCTGACCATGCCACCAACGGCGTTAATGGTACCAATGGCACTCAGACGCCCGGTACTTTGACACGTCAAGCCACCATTACAAAACCTCCAGCTTTCGAGCCACAGGTCGGATACCGCCAATGGGTCGCCCAGGCCGGTACTTTGATCGCGGATCTTCTGACATGTGCTGGGGCCGACCACGTTATTACTATGGATCTCCACGGTATGTGATATCATTCTAGACACAAGCAACTGCTTCTAATAAATCTCTAGACCCGCAATACCAAGGGTTTTTTGATATCCCCGTCGACAACCTTTACGGGCGTCACCTCCTGCGCAAATACATCCAATTCAATATCCCCAACTATCAGCAGGCCGTTGTAGTCTCCCCTGACGCAGGTGGTGCCAAACGAGCCACCGCTATCGCTGATGCACTCGGCATGCCCTTTGCACTTATCCATAAAGAGCGCCGTCCAACCCAGATCAGTGACCGGCAGAATGCGACCATGATGTTGGTTGGAGACGTATCAGCTCGCACGACGATTCTCATCGATGACTTGGCGGATACGTCCAACACCATTACCCGTGCAGCGAAGCTCCTGAAGAAGGAGGGCGCTACACAGGTAATTGCGCTCATCACGCACGGCATTCTGAGTGGAGATGCCATTGATCGCATCAACGCTAGTGCACTGGACAAGGTTATCGTGACCAACACGGTACCTCAGGACGAGCACAAGTCGAGGTGCCCCAAGCTGGAGGTTTTGGAAGTGGGCAATGTGTTTGCTGAGGTATGTATAAAACTTTGATTGATATTGGAGCATACTAATGGGAAAATCAGGCTATTCGCCGCGTCCACCACGGTGAGAGCATCAGCGTGCTGTTCGATTACAGTTAGTATCTCTGCTCGTTCAGCTTCCGCTACTAGATCGATCCCGTCACGCCGCGCTCGGTGTCAGCTCCCTATGGACCTTGGGAGCGGTAGAGACAGATTTGGTTAGAGGCCTTTTTTGCTCTCTCCCTTTTTTTTCGTCTTGTTGAAGGCTACACACTCTTGGACCCTCCTTTCGATGACATTCAGATTGGACATGGGGAGCGGGGTGTATTTTTTGAATTTTCTGTACTTTGCATCTTTGTAAAGACTGCTGAGGAGCGGTATATCAAATACCTAAATGTGCATCATGAGCATATGTGCATGGATTGGCGTTTTTCAAAGGGCGGTTCCTCCTTACAAAAAACTTTGAAATAGTCATGGCTATTTTTTTTCGGTTCCACTGAGAGTCGACGGGTGGTGTGTTGTGCTGTTGCATGTCCACGTGCTTGTGTGGTGAGGATTTCACCCCTGTCCGAATGACTCGAGTGGTGTCGTCGGTGCGATAGATGGATGTTAATGATATGATGAAGTAGAAAGAAAAAAGTTATCTTTGAGAATTGGTTGTGCATGGTATCATGAATAGATTGATTTGGGCATACATCTTCTGCAGCTGCAGCCCTGAGGAATTTTCCAACTACCAGGTGCATGGTATCGCTATTTCGTTCCTTCTCTTCATCCTCTGCTGAACCCAGCATATCAACTCTTCTACTCACCCTCCATTCGACTACCTCTCGCCACCGCGGCTTTTCTTCGCCCCCAACTTAATCTCTACTGTTCCTCTGATGGTATACATATGTGCCCAGCACTTGCCGCCATACAATCGGCATTACACCTCCCAAACAACGCCCCTTCATCACGCCCTAGCGTTACCTCCCCCCTCCCAAAAAAAAACTACTCCAAACGCCGCATTTCCCTCATCTTATCCCTTTACAACAGCAAAAACAGCAAAAAAAAACACTCAATCACCTAATCCCATCCTCCCACCTCCCCACCCCCGAATCCTTCCTCCTTCCCCCTTTCTCCCCCGGCGTAAACAACTCCGCACTCAACACCAGCACAGCCGGTACAACCGCCAACGCATCAATCGTCCCACTCCTCCCCTTCTTACTCTGATGCCTCAGGTCCATCAACGCATTGACTTCGCGCGATTTAACGGTTTCTTTGCGCGGCCTCTGCTGCTGCTGCTGCGTCTCTGACACCGAGGCCAAGGATGATGTGGAAGGGCGAGATGTAGAAGGGGATAGGGGTTGCTGGGAGGAAGAGGAAGATGTGGAAGACGAACGCCGTGTTCGGAAGAGAGAGAGTGAGGAAAGCGTTTTTGAGCGGCCGCGCGGTGGGGCTTGGGCTGTTGTGGGTGAGGTTGGTGTGGGAGAGGTCGGGCTGCTGGGTTTGGTGGTGCGGGCGGGGTTTCGCGGGGGAGGGAGGCGTGGGAGGGGGATGTTGATTTCGGTGTAGAGGGGGGTTTCGTAGTGGATTTGGAAGAGGGGGTCTAGTGTGGTTGGTGTTGTGGTTGTGGTTGTTGGGGAGGAGATGGCGCAGATTGGTGATGCGATGTCGTTGTGTTGTGTAGTTATGGGGGTGCAGGTGTCGAGTGGCGGGAAGGCCTCCGGGTAGGAGGGTACTATGCTGGCGGTGTGGTCCATGATTTTGTTGTTCACTATCTATCTCTTTCTTTGTTGTTGTCGCTATTTCTTTCCAGGTGTGCGACTTGGAGGGTTTGGGATATTGTAGTATGTAGGGGGGGTTGTAGAAAGAGAAAACAGCAGCCTGGGGCGGGAAATAGATTTGTTTTCTACTACGTCCCGTGTGTATATTGTGGCTGGTTGGTTCACCTTACTTGTGCTATGTGACGAAAAGGTACATGGGAGGCCTAGCACAGCCTCGATTCAGGCAAACCGTGGTTTAATATCACGTTTTTCCTTCCCTCCTTCCTCGTTTAATCGCCGAGCTTCGCTCGGAATTTTTCTGTGTTAAATTACGCCGTTGCTTTTCGATATGCGCTAGGATCTGGATTCCCGATGCTTGATTGTTAAAACAAAAACCTTGGTTCACTTCTTGGGAACACTATGGAGGTGCTTGGTGGGTTTTGGGTAAGTAACAACACAAATTTTGTTGGCTTTGTTTGTTCGCGCGAACGCGGTGTACGTACACAAATCGCAACCACATACGTGTACATTGTACATCATTTTGTGCTGACGCACGATAATCATTGCAGCTTGCGGTTCAGCTGATGGCTACAAGCCACCCAATTATGCGCATACCTCTTGACTCAGCCGCAGTCCGAAGGGGCTGCGCGCGGGCAAGGCGGTCGGGAACCACTTTATCCGTTTGAGTCTGACCGCGGTGGAGGATTCGGTCGCCCTTGTGGCGTGGGGCTGTGCGAGCGTCCCCGCATGTTTGGGGGCAGCTGAGACGGGATGATTTGAGGGCTTTCTAGCGCCAAAATAAAGGTAGAAAGAAAGCTTCAACTTGTCAACAGCTTCTGCGTGCAACGGAAGTAGGTACATCTTGGTTGTGGAGGGCTAGTCAGTGAAGCGCATACAAAAAGAGTTTTGGTTGCGACTATTCGTTAACCTGCATCTAGCGCTTACAATAGTACCTTGGAAGCATGGAACTGTGTCTTCGCCAGCTGCTTGGCATGTCGACTTTTCAAAGAGAAACGACCGAGGCCTGGGCACGTGGTGTTGTCTATCACCCTTTTGGCCGCCAAACTAAAGCAAGAGTCTGAACTAATGCGTAAATCATACGTATATTCGCTATACAATGCAATCCTTTTCGCTACCAGATATGTACTCTACTCAATGTATTATCCAGCCATCCAACTATCCACCAACCTACTTGAACTGATCTTCCGTGACTCCCTTGCCCATCGCAGCCGTCGAGCTGACTCCACCACTAACCATCTTGAGCAGATTGTCCACATAGTTGGCACCGCTCCATTTCTGATGCGTAAGAACATCGACCTTGTTCTCCGCCTCGGGCTCTTGGATAATCTCACCGTACGCACGCATGCCCTGCTTAGCATACGCCTTTGAGAAAGTATCAGCCATGAGCGCGCTCTGGTGCAGGCCAGCGAGTGTGATGAATTGCCAGCAGTAGCCGAGCTTGGCGAGGCGCTGGATATATGTCTCTTGCTCGTCACGTGGCATGGCGGCTTTCCAGTTGAATGATGGTGAGAGGTTGTATGCGAGTCTGGCAAAACGTTAGCAATTTGTGAAAAATGGATGCATAGATGGAGATACATACTTTTGCTCAGGCCATACGGCATGCACGCCGTCGGCAAATTCTTTGGCTTGCGCGTAATCTGGTAGCTTCGACTCCATCCAGATCATGTCGCAGTAGGGAGCGTATGCTACAGCGCGGTTGATGGCACATTGGCAGCCACCCTGGTACCTGTAGTAGCCTTCTCGCGTCCTTGCTGCCTCCCAGTTGAAGTATACATCAACGCCGGTAATACCAGTGGCAATGGCACGAGCTTCGGAATTGCTCTTGCCTTTGCTCTTCTCCAGGAACTCGTTGATTAGACTTTGCTTGTTGACGTGTACGCCAGCATTGATGGTGTCGATTACAGCCTCGTGGAAGAGCTTAAGGTTGGCCTCCTTGATCCAGGCGTCTTCAATGGCTTGGAGTTGAGCACCGCTCTTTCCAGCTTGTTCGGCGGCATACATGAGCTCGCTCAGAGGCTGGAGTGCAGGGTTAGTGCAGCCCAGAATGTAGTGGTGATCGCGTGGGTCAATGGTGGAAGTGATGAGGGTAGCGGCTTCTGAGTCGGTACGTGCAACAGCAAGTAGATCGGTGCCTAAGAATTTCTCGTTAGTATAATTCCAAGTTATTTAGATTTGCTCAATTTTACCCATAATGTCTGCCTGAGCTCTGATAGCTACCAAGCGGTTGATGTGCTCGCTGATAGGTACCAAAACCTTTCCAGCCATGTGTCCACACTTCTTGGTTCCTGGAGCTTGATCCTCAATGTGAATGCCAGCTGCGCCCTTCTCGATGAAGAGCTTGGTGAGCTTCATGATCGCTGTAAGACCTCCGTGTCCAGTATCCGCATCAGCAATGATCGGTCGCAGGTAGTCGACATTGGGAAGTTTGGTGCGGTCGGCCTTTGCAGAGCTAAGACGCTCCTCGCGTTGCTTTCGGTCGTGGAAGAGTTGTGCCATGAACAAATGGCCAACCTTGTTAGGCACAGTGGTCTAAAAACGATGAGTTTCTTACTTTGACTACGATTTTGTTTTGAGGAATACTCACGTAAGGGTAGTCTGCTAGATCTGGACCTGGCTCATCCGTAGATGAAGCCGTCGATGAAGCTTGCCATCCAGAAACATAAACAGTGTCCAAGTACTTTGCCATCTGTGTGACCATGACCGGGTCAAGACATCCATATGTGAAGCTAACATCTTTGTTCTGCACATAGTCAGAATCCATTCATCAAACCTCTCAAAGAGGCAATTTACCTTGAATCGTCCCTCTACAATCTGCCAAAGCTTCTTCGACTGACTGTTGCTAGGGTATGTGATCTTCAAGTTACCTCGCTTGGAAACAATATCCTCAGCCGTAAACGGCCTCCTTGTAAACCTCCATCTGGAATCTGTCCACCACTGCTTAACCTCCTGCACCTCCTTCTGGAACTGAGCGTCTTCAGCTTCAATGTTTGCCATGATGATGTATGTGTATGTATGACGTGAGATGGTCTGTGTTGAAACAACAACCCAATCTTGCTTCAGCAACCGAGATCACCGTTGGATATGGGGAAATGAGGAGTAGTAGTAATGGAAGAGGGAAGAGTGTAAGAATGAGAGAGAAGAGAGAGAGAGAGAGAGGAAATCAGGGTAATACTCTTCTCTTCTTTAGTACCAAATGGATCAAGCAATGGGACGGCACACCGGAAATCGAGCCTCGGTCTAACTGCCTAGCCGTGATATAAGCTCCAACGGGAACAGCCAAGCTTGGTCCTAAACTACACCACACAGCGAAAGACAAATCAGCAATAAAACGCTCCAGATATAGCGAATTGAGTTTAGCACCATGTCCCAGCTTCTACCCCAGAAGGGGAACTCGGGAGGGACCGGCTGAGCGCACCATTGGCCCGAACCACAGCATCATCCGAGGAAGCTGAGTGTGGGAAAGGCTCGAGCGTGACCGTCATGCTCGAAACCGAGAAAGAAAAAAAGGCGTGAGATTTGTCCTCGGCCCAAGGGGAAACCGCACGTTTGGGAGGGAGGGGAGCATGACTGCTTGTAGATCGGAGGTGGGGATTGGGGGAGGGCCAGCGGAAAAGTGACGAGGATGACGTTTGCCAATTGCTTGGAGACAAAACTACTACGTATGGCAACACTTCTTTTAGCCATTTTAGCTTCTGCATCTTGCACATTGTTCGCGCTTCTCTATCTCAGACGTTCTTGAATTCAACGGCTGGAAGTAATGTGGTGTGGGCACGCGACCACATGCAAGCCTTCACATGTCGAAGGGTCGTCGTTGTTTCGTTGTCGTCCCATGTGCTTTTGTGCATGTGAAGGGGGGCCCCCAGGCGGAAATCTGGGGTTGCGCGTCACTAGCGTGTAGCGGCTTTTCTTTTGTGTACCTCGGCTGATCTTAACCGCAAAGAAGGGGGCCATGATCAAGATTCGATCTGCAGATGTTCACAAGCAAGACGGATATGTGTGCTGCTGGGCCGGAAATGCAACGGATAATGCCATGTCAGAGGCAGCCCATCATGATTGCACCTGGATACATCAGGATGGACAAGGCTCACCGGGAGTAAGCCATCTCGGCAATTGCTAACGATCTGCTCCATGATGCTCGCCAATGAGATGACTCTTCGTCACCCATGAGGAATGACTATGTCAAGGACAGACTTGCTCGATTCAAAACAGCTAACAATGAATAGGCCTAGCTGTACCCTTTTAGCAAACCATACGCATGGGGTGCGTGTACTAATAAGGCGCTCTTCGCCAGCCACCACCAATTGAAATCATCGCTACCACGAGCATTAAAGCATGCAGACCAGTCCTTGCGCTCCGCCAGCGCCAACATGCATTTAGCTGATTCGGCCCCTGCCCAGGAGTTGGACCAGGCACTCATCTGCAGAACAGCTAGGTAGCATAGCGACATCCTCACCACTAGATCCACCAAATCTACACCCTCTGAAAATCCAAAGCAAAAGCGCTGCGCTAAGAAGAGTTTCGTAACGGCTCTTCTGTACTTCCCGGCATGTTTCTGACCCACGTGACTTCTCACAAACTGGTCCAGTTCCGAATACGGCCTGGATCGAATGTCGTCTACTTGGATGTTTGAGCTTTGTGGCGTCACAGAGTACGCCGGGTCGGGTGGCGGACACCTCAGCTTTCTTAGTAACATCCATCTCAGTTCGTCGAAATAGCCTCGCCTGACTGGCGCCATGTTCTCGCCTTCAATACATATCGATGATTGGTCTGATAATAGGAAGGGCAATAATTTAGGGCGACACAGCCACAATGTCCTATTCCGCTCGTCGGTGAAGACACATTCACGATCAATCCCCTCGGAAGTGTATGTGTAGTGGACAAGCCTTGAGTAAAAGGCCGGGGTGAGTACACGAATCTCCATGTCTTGTTGGGGTCTTTCGGGTTCCAGGACGCGGGTCGTGGAAATGAGGCGGTATTGTGTCCCAGGGATCGAGCTCTTGAATGTGATGCAGAACGGATATTCGGTCTCATTCACAAGCTTGTAGAGATAGTCTCGGAAGACTTCCTCGAGTGCGCTTTGTAGGTCAGCAGTGGTTACTTTGCGGCGATATGTTTAAACTTACATTTCAGCAGAGGTAGGTAGACGGCCGATACTAGAAGTCTGCACCTCTGGTCTGAACCAAACATGAAGCTTTCTCTTGAAGAATAGCTTTCCGGCTTCCCTGAGGATACGGGGAAATGTGACCAGACCAACCCACCACCAGCTCAGAACGAACCGGGCTGTGCCAAAGAAGCCTAGCTGGTCTGGATCCAAAGACTTTCCAGTCGAAAAGAGGCGGGCCACCAGTTTACCGTGGTCTTTGGAGGACTTCAATATGATTGTGTTGTCAATTCTGGGGTCACCATGGCCGACGGTTGGGAATGGATTTTGAGCTTTGAGCGCGTAAGATCCCTTTCTGGAATTGAATGGCGAAACGTGGAAATCCTTCATCCAGACATCGGTAAACTTTGACTTGGATGCATTGGCCAATTCATTCTCAGATCCCTCATCAGCCGATGATTGTTGGGAGTCAGATTTGTGAGGCGGGCTGGAAGGACTTGACCCGTCGAGCAGGTACATGCGCCTTTCTCCGAATGTGTTGTTGACCTCCAATACCATTTTCTTAAGTTCATGGTCGCGATCGTAAATGTACCAGAAAGAGACGGGGTTGAAGGAGTAGCCGAAAAAGCGCGGTGCTGTTACCAAGTAGGCATATTCCCACTCTGAGTCGGCAACATGCTGAGCTTTCAGGTACTTTCTCAACTTTTGGTAAAATCCGAGCTCGCCATCGCCTCGCTCAAGGTAATCTTCGGCTCTTACTCGGAGCCACCATGATCCTAAATACCGATCTTCTCCACTTGGAAATTCTGTTTCGTCCTGCTGAGCTCGACTGCAGACAATGGGGTATCCACACTGGAGGTACGAATATGCAAACGCGTGTCGCTTTGGGAACATTCGGGCATGCGTTGTCTGGCACGGGAAGATGCGTGGTTTGGGTACCTCCACCTCGGATCTCTGTACAGTTCCATTGGATGATTTCGGTGCTGTGGCATTCCTACTCTTGAATGCGCGGGCTAGGAAGGATACTAGCAGCGCAAGGACCGTTGCAACACTGTATGCGTTGTACAGCGTGTACTCGTGTTTAACCCCAAAGTTTTCCCACAACCCCACTACACTCTCGAGCAGTTGGTGCCGTATGTGCCAGGCAAACAGCAGTACAAATATGCGGCAATCCGTCGCAAGCTTGCTATCCCGACGACTCCATCTTAGACTGTCACCTAGGATCCAGATTGTTAGCAAAGGCCAGACTCGCCACCCGCTCGGTACAATTGAAGATAGTACCATGAGCGGGGCGCACCCAACAATGAAGGACTCGAAGGCGGCAAGGCCATCGAGGGCACTCGCAGCAAACATGAAGGAGATGATTCCACGTGAGTAGATATATGTAGCATTCGTGAAGTATCAAACGAGAAAAGAAGGCTTATGGTTCGATAAATGTCAGATCAAAGGTCACCCAGCCTGACGCTATACCTTTTTGGTGAAGTGTATATGCAGGGTCCCCTCAAGAGCGAAACGCGTCGGTCAAATCTCCACATTCGGAGTTTACGGGCCAAAATAGATGGACGTTGCAAAGAGCCATACGAATGTAATGGGGGTTTCTCTCTTGTAGTCGATGTTACTGCCTTCGGACGCCCGATGTGACTCGTTGGCGGCACGCGAGGAACGCGGTCGGGGTTGGTACCATTGAAGAAGGTGGATACTGCTGCGGCAAGCTCGCCGATGTTACGTCATTGGCGTCCAGAACACGCTTGCTTACCCCGTAGTGCATCACTATAGATACAGTACATACGTCGTTTAGTAATCCGTCTTCCCCCTTTGCCTCGTCACGGTGCAGGATAGTGGCAGGAAGAAGCAATTACTCACACGTGTCAGAGCGTTGCCGAGAGGTGACGCCGGTGTACGATCGTGCGTAGGTGGGGAAAAAAAGGAAAACAATTTGAAAACAAGTAATTTGCAATATGGCTGTTTCTCCACGGATACTCCAAGGGATGGGAGTATCAGTCACCGCAACAGCCACTTTTTGTTACAATACGGTGGTTACAGCGCCTCAAAGTTCGGCTACCGGAACCAGATGCCCGAAGTGTGTTGGCATGAACCTTGTTCTTGCTTAGGTTGTTGGTAGTTTTTGCCCTTGGCTGGTTAGTCTAGATGTCTGTTCTTCTAGTTTGATTGTTACCATGTGACACCAGCAGTCAAGTCTCAATGATAACAGCCACAGTGTAGCGGTCAGGGTAATTACATCAGCCTTGGATTCGGTTATCGTATTGACACATGTCTAGATGCACCCCTGATGCTGTGTGACACGAGGGCGCGCTTGTGACAAAATGCTGACCAGTGAGTGTAATGACATCTTTTTAGGCAGGCCCTCTCAAGATACTTAGAACCAGCGCTTTGGTATGACACTACTCGCATAGGAGAATTAGAAGTTGGTATCTCTCCCCAAGACCATTGTGAGAACTGCTACTCTTGCTTCGTGTACACAAACGCTTTGTGGGACAGGTGTTGTCTTCGTCAAACTTTCTTCTTGTGTTGCATATGTTAATACTGACAACTGCCGACCTCTGAAACGAATAAGTGCTGTCTGCTCGAGCAGACGTCTTAAAGTTTCGCCTCTTGTACGCCCGAATGTTTAAGTACCGGAGAAGTTTTGAATCACTGCTTCATGTAAATAGGATCCTTATGCAAAAAGTAAAAAAGGTGGAGATGCTTCATCGGCCTGGTATGTCCGAAGTGGAGAGAACACTGTATCGTAGTCTGAGGAGCGGAATTTCTTGACGCCAGAGGTGACAAGTGGGGGTGGGGTTTCTGTCTGACCCGGGGTTCAGCCGTGCGGTAGAAATTCACGTGATGGACTGCCACTTTCATCTACACATCCATCTCAACTAGTGCGTACTCCTTACTGGCTGCCAAATTCGTCCAAGGCGAAGAAGCTATCAAATGTTCGGCATGGATTACTCATCATATGAAATAACATGCCAGTCTCAAAGGGATGCGCAAGAAAAGCTAGTGTCCATTCGACCGAGTATTGTTTAGGCGGTAGTACGCAGTTGACTAGTTTTGCTATATTACCGATTTGCTCCAGTGGAAATGAAGGATGGAAGCGTGGTAAGGTATTCTAAACAGCATGATCCTTGAGGGTGAATAGGGTATGCAGCATTTCGAATTCAGATCACCGTTTGGCGCCCAAGTCTGGTTGAGGAATGTCATTGCATTGCGAAAAAAAAAGTCAAGATTTTTCTTTGGTCGACTTTAAGTTTCCTATTTTTAGGTTTGCCGCGTAGTTCTATAATGCGAGTCCCTGCGCTTCTATAGGTTTGGTTACCGGGTTGTTGTGTTGAAACGAGTAGTTATGAATTTGGAATTGAGCATACGCCGCATCTAACAAATTTCAACTCTTCGCACAGTTAAAGATATTCCTCTTTATCAAAATCTCGCTGAAGAGTCTTGAACTGGATATTCTACGCTCTTTTGCGTTTAGTCTGATTGTTTCTGGATACGTTGAGTTCGCGAGTATAGGTAGGGCCGTCTAGTATTTATAGGCCAGGATTATCAAGAGTTCGTCAGACTAACACAGCATCAATTTCAGCTTGCTGGAAGACGTGTTTTTGCTTTGATCGTGGTACGAAGCAGCTCACGGGAAGCGTCCGTGGGCAAGGCTGTGCAAGCCATTCATGGCTGCGAAACCCACGTACCTTTTTTGTACTAGCAAGAGAATGCTTATCTCACGCAGGAACGGGTCACGTTCATGGGTGAAAAGGGCTAAAAACTGAGCATAAGCGAGAACCCATGTAAATAATATGTATCGAACAAGCTTGCCGGACGAAATGAGTGGCTGGTATTTGCAGGTCAAATATCTAAGTGCGACAAACCTCAGGCATCAATTATTGCACCTGACAGGCTGGAGCCGCGCCATGGCTGACTTGCAGTATGTACAAGTCCTTTGAGATTTTAGTGTCTCCCTTATGAAAGTATTCAGCTGGTCAACCAAGTTGCCAGAGTACTTGTTGGCGAAGTGCCTCATCGGACGTCTCTCCGAAATTGCTGGGCGGTCCAAAGGCTGACAGGCGATTGATCACAGACTGATGGTCTGTGTGAAGCAGCAGCAGCAGCAGCAGAGACGGGTGCGTCGATTTCCGTCAGATGCAATTACCCGCGACTAGTTCGGTGTTGGTATCTGGTGCTTCAGCTAGTGCGATGCCAGGCATCCCACGCCGGTATCTGACGGATAACTGGGCAGGAAGGGTGTTGCGGGCGGGGACCCTTGGAGATTGCATAATCGGACAGAAATTTGGATGTTCACGAGACTGGCCTAAATTTTTCATTTTGGACATTTTGCGCAGATGACATGTGGGCGGGATGTTGGAGTCTCGATCGTAGGTGGGAAGTAGAGGTGGATGAGAATCGTATGGCGCTGTGTTGAGCAAGCGATACAGCTGAGTTGGGCGACCAGAGTGACGACATGCATACATATATTAAGATGGGGGTGGCAGGGGAAGGGAAGCAGGTGGTGGTGGGAGAGTGAAGATCACTGACTAACGCGTTACCGTGCCACAGGCTGGGTTCCAATGGGTCACATCTGCGCTTCAACATGTCCGAAGTGGGAGCAGGCCCGCGTAAGTGTAGCATCATCCATTGGGCAGCATGTGTTTGCATGATGATGTTCAGCCGCCGAAGCTTCAGCTGCAACGCCGTGAAGAGGTTTGTGCAAGGGCATGGTGGTTGGGCAACAAAAGAGCGCACGCTATTGAAGGTAGCGTGAACAGGCAGATAAGCTAAGAGAGAGTGTGCCTGGAGGGAGGGGGGGCCGGCTGCAACGCTCAGGGTCTGCGCATACGTCAGCCCCACGTGACGATCAACACTGTAAGCACCAGCGAGGGAGTAAATCAACATGGGCTTGCCTACCTCTTCTCCTGACGCTGTAACTCGCGCCGCCGTCACTAGGAAAAAGCAAAGCAAAAGGCATGCGCTGTCGCTGCGCAGGTTAAGCCCGCTCTGTCACCTGCAAAATCCCACTGACCCCTCTCTGTTGGGAGTAGCCAAGGGTCCATCCCACTCGCCGACTTCCTTGAAAACGACGACGACCACCGCGTGACGACACGGGCGCAGCCGTTTCCAGACCATAGGCCCGATTCGCGACATCTTCCATAGCGTGCCCAGTTCACACAAACCCTCTATAAGCCACAGCATCCCGCCGCCCGCCGCCTCAACATGAGCGCAACTGAGAAAGCAGCACCTGTACCCCAGAAGCCCAACCCGCCTGCATCCGCTACGACGACTTTGCGCCAAACCAAACCAGCCGACAACAACAACAACAGCAGCAGCATTCTGGGCAAGGGAAAGAAGCTTTTGGGACTAGGGAAAAAGAAGGGAGACGAGGGAGACTGGCCGGCCATGGAGCAGACAGGAACGACGGCAGCGGCTGCGGCGTCGACTACTACGACGACTAATAAGACTGCGACGACTACATCGGCACCCACGCTACTCCCCTCACCACCAATGTCTCCACCAGAGCGTAGGGCGTCGCCCCGAGGCAGCCCGCGCATGCTGCCTGTGAGCGCGTCGCCTAGCCGTCGCATTCGCTCCACGTCGCCAAACCTGCACAGCCCAGCGTCGTCGCTCATTTTCGAGCGCAACGTGCAAGAGCCTGAGCCGTCAGTCGATGTGCCGGCACACATCAAGACGGAGGACCATATACCCCCCGCACTAGATGCGACGTCACTGGCCATTACCGACACTCAGCTCAACCCCGATGAGGTGGAGATTGTGACACACTCTGCGCACCAGCCAGTGGCTGTGGCCGTAGCCGGCAGCATGGCCGAGTCGCTGCACTCACCCCTCATGGCGCCCGAAGAGTCAGCAGCATCGAGCCATGTGGATGCGGGTGAGTCGACAGC